CTGTATCCCCAAACCCTACAAAATACGGTTGATGATATAAACTTAAGGTATACCCCCCAAAGACAGTAGGTTTTTGGATCCCCAGGTAAGGAAAGGGCAAACTACAAAGGGGCAAAAGGGTACTAGTGAGGAACCGAGTTGACATATCAAAATCAGAGTGGAGGTTTAGGGGTTTTAGGGTTTAGGGGTTTGGTGTGTCAAAATCAAAATTGAAGGTTTAGGTGTTTTAGGGCTTAGGGGTTTCGGGGTTGGGGTCCGAACTCAGAATTGAGGGCTTTGGTGGAATAGGGTTCCTTTCAGTGTTCCTTCAATAGACCTACAAGCCTTCTTTCAAAACCAGAACTTCTTGCTTCTGCGGCGATTTGGGATTTGGGCTAAGGCTAAGGTGCCTGAGTAAACGAACCCAGAACCCGGGTGTAATAATTAGAATGGGGTTTTGAGGCCTTTTATACAAAAAGCAGAAAAAAGGAAACCCGAAAATCCTATTCTAATTATTAAGGCCCCCATATTAAATCCAAACCTCAGACCCCATAAAAAACGGCTCTATTTGCCCCCAATCCCTGGCTTGCACTACCAAAACCTACGTTTTCGTATGGGTCCCTAAACTTCTGCACCCGGTCTTATAAGGAGAACCCACAAAACAAGAGGGTTATGGTGAGGTACCCATAGCCTCCTTAGTACTTCCTTTTTGGGACTACCTTACAGGATCTTACATATAAACCATAAAAAGGAACTACGAAGGAGCCTGTGGGTAGCCACTAATCCGAGCTTCTAGCAGCAGGCGCACGACCTCAGTGTGGCCGTTGGTTGCTGCTCGGTGGAGGGCTGTGCTGCCTTCTTGGTCGATCAGGTCCATAGCCGCACCAGATTCCAACAGCAAGCTCACCTTAGTCTGGGCTCTGGTGAAGGAAGTTGATACTTACGTCACCATAGCCAAGAAATTTCCCTATTAATTATACCATGGATCCCTACATCACGGCAAGCTCGCCTAAGTCTTTGGGCCTTGGGCCTTGGGGTTCAGAGCTGACGTTTGACCTGAGTTGCAATCTTTACCTAGGGTTTAAGGTTTCCCGGCTTCCACTTCACATTGCTACCCTGTTACTACGACTCAGGCTTAAGCTCTTGAGGTTTTGTAATGTCGGAAAGGAAAGCGAGTCACTACATCAACATGCCCGTTGCCAGACGCCCAGATTAGGGCTGTCTTGCGCTGCCAGTCCATCGAATCTTTGTCAGCACCGGCTTCCAGTAGCAAGCGTGCCACCCCCCCATGGCCATTCCTGAGTTGGCAACGGTTTGGGTTTAGGGTTTAGGGTTTAGGGTTTAGGGTCGAGGGTCTAGGGTCTAGGGTTTAGGGTTTAGGGTCTTGAACCCAGAGAACCCAATAGCCCTTAATTAAGGAATTTACCTTAAATTATATAGGCCTTCATATTATGACTTTAGGTCTATTCCTTAATTAGGGGCTCTATTGGGTTCTCTGGGAGACCCCCGAAAAAGATCATAGAGGGTGCCTCCTCCCAATACGGAAAAGCAGAAAATAAAAATGCCCCAGCGGCCTACCTCTTGGTTGGACCTAGATGCCCTAAACCCTAAACCCTACCTGAAAATAGAAAAGATCTCAACTGCCTACCTAGAAACCCAAACCCTAAACCTTAAAGGGTTTAGTGTCTAGGGTTTAGGGTTCCTAAACCCTCGAGACCTAGATTTGTGGACCCAGGCGCATGCAGGCCCATGTCAGAGCTGTCTTGCCCACCTCGCGGGCCGTAAAGCCTTGAGCTGCACCGGACTCTAGCAAAAGCCGCACTGTCTGCACCTAGGTTCTTTAGGGTTTAGTGACTGTCTTTCCGTTTAGGGTTTAGGCTGGGTTTCGGGGTTTCTACTAATACCAACTGCTCGGTAATATATGGGGGACACAAAATGAAAGGGCAAAAAGGGTACTACTGGGAGACCTGGGCACATGGCCGTTGGAAGATGCCCACAAAAGAGCTCGTATGCCTAACCTGGGTTGTCGATCTAGCTCGGAATAGGGTTTAGAGTTTAGGCGTTTAGGGTTTAGGGATTAGGAGCTCTACAAGACCACAAGGGACATGAACAAGTCTCCCAAAATGCCGCCCCAAGGAGCTCATTTGTAGAGTCTTTGTCCGTGCTAGCCCTCAACAGCAAGCGTACTACCTCGATCTCCCCCTTGGTCGCAGCCTCCCTAAGTTCCTGTGCAGCCTCCAGCCCTTTGGCAAGGGATAGCCTTACTTCCCCAATAAGCCAAGGAAAAAAAAAGGCTAAACTTTCAGATTACTTTTGAATTATAAGAACCCACCCAAAAAAGTCTAAAGGGTTGGGTATTGGAGAACTAAGTAGCAAGACCAGCTGTACATCCATAGGGGCACCCAGCTTGCTGGAATCCTGTAACCGGATGCCATCATGGAGAAGTTCTTGAAGGCAGATGGGCAAGCCCTTCCTCACACGCAGTTGCTGCTTCAGGGCCAGAACATCACTCAGCTCCTCTGCAGGTATGGCTGCCAGCTCTACACCAGATATCTGCCAAACGCGGAGCATGAAGGGCCCGGGAAGAGGCAAAAGAGCATAAAAAGGCTTCACTTCCTAACTAGCTGAAGCCTGAAAGACGGCGTCAAGAAGCTACCACATCCATATGCACACGTACGTGGATGCAGCAGCTATAGATCACGTAGGTCCGCAAAACTGTTCACTGCTGGGAGACTCGAGAAGTGGCTGACAAGACTTCCGGGATTTACAGGATTTAGAATAGGTACATGTGGTATAGTTTCGATAGTTTGGGGTTTAGAGTATAGCACCGTGGTACTCCTGACCCCAGCAAGCACCCCCTCAACCTCCAAGTACCATGAAATCTGCTCCTCAACCCCAAAACCCTGAACTCTGAACTGAACCCGAAACGGCGCTCTTCCCTAAACCCTAAACCCAAAAGTAACCCCAACAAAAACCGCCCTCCGAAATGTTAGACCCAGAAATTCCTCAGTCGTTCACTGCACAGGTGCAAAGAAAAGCTACAATCTTCTCGATTAGGGTTACCCTAAAAACCCAAAGGACCCAATATCAATAATGGCGTACTTGGGTTTCGGATCATAGTTATGTAGCTTAGTAATTGGGAAAGTATATGAGGATTCGGTGCTTGGACCCTTAGGGTTAAGTGTTTAGGGTCTAGGGGTGTTTAGTGCTTGGGGTTTAGGGATGTTTAAGGTTTTGGGCTTAGTGTGTAGGGTTTAGGGCTTTTGGGGTTTTGTGCTTAGGGCTTCCCCGAATACCTAAGCACACCTAACCCTAAACCCTAAACCC